TGAGTCGACAAACTTGTCCGGATCAGGGTCGTCCATGGCTTCTTTGATCCAGTCGATCCAGGGCTCTTGATCTGAATCATTGGCCGCAATGATGATCGATTGAATGAGATTTGCCTTCCATAGTCCAAGATCATTGATCCTGGGCCATGACGGAACGTTTATCTTTGATTCTTCCTTCCTCGATACTTTCATGATTGTAGAGGTTGCCGGTGCAAGATGAGATGAAGAGGATGCTTCTGCTTCTGAAATCTTGTCCCTCAATGATTTGTTCGCCTCGGATAGCTCAATTGATTTCTCCCTTTCCTCGGCGTACTCATTGTGGGTTTCAGCATACCATTCATACATCTCATCTCGGCTCTCTGTCATTTCATTGTACCCGTCCTTGTAGTGCTTCGCCTCCTCTTTTGCGTTCCGAATCTCATCTTCCTCGGACGCGTGGGTTGGTAACCCGCGGTCTCTGGAACTAGGACGCTTGCTGTACCGAGAGACTATGGGTGCCATTCGTGCTTCTGCTTTTAGTTTCGCATTTTCCATAATGACATTCTTTGTCTCCTTCTGGCTTTCCAATAGTGCATTCTCCAGTTCTCTGATCTTCTGTTGAATTTCAGCACCATCATCGCCGAACATAGGAGCTCTCATCATATTCTCTCTTTTCAGCTGTGCGTTGGCTTCGGATAGAGCGAGGTTGGCGTCTTTCAACTGTTGTCGTTCACGGATGGAACGTTCTAGGACTTCGTTGTTGAATATTTCTCCTTTTGCGATAACCTCCTTTGCGACGTTTGCTTCGTATTCATGGTGGCTCGCCTTCATTTCTGCCATTTCTTTAGCAGAGACTTCAGTCTAGCATACAAACATCTCCATCCTCATGCCCACTTCCATCTCTTCTATCTCCGCTCTCGCGTTGAGTTCAGCTCCACGTGCCATAGCTAGTTGACCTCGTAGATGATCAATAACCATAGCTTCCTGATTGCTCTGATCCTGAGATGAGTGAACACTGTGTTGAAGACGTCTTTCCCTGACCTCACTGTTCCATTGTTCTTCTCTCTGGTGTTGGATCACCTCGTGCATGTTGACATTCTCGTCCTGTAGCGCAATCATTCTAGCTTGTATCTGGTCAGCTATTCCGACGAAGGCTGTGTTCTCATCCTGAATGGCTTTTGATCTTCTATTGATCGCCAATGAAGATTCATTCTGTTCTTGGATGTGTCCAATTGCTGCTTGAAGCTCTTGGGACATTCTGTCCTTCGTTGCTTTCACAGATTCAAGCTCTGAATGTTCTTGATGAGTTTCTTGTGCAAGCTCTTGATATCTCATGTAGATATGTTCAGCTGTCGATTCCGCCAAGCGTAGCTTGTGTTCGAGCTCTTCAATTCTTATTGTCGCTCCTTCATCCTCCTGTGTCATCTCCTGTAGATGTTCCTGCATCTTCCTGTTGTAGTCAGACATTTGCCTGAACTCCACTTCAGCCTCGTGGTGTAGTCGTGAGTATCCGGCTTGGATGTATTCATATTCTTCATGAAGAAAATTGTATGCGTTTCTCGCCGATCTCAATTCTTCACCCAGCTGAATCTCTCTTCTTTGCTCTTTTGTTCCTCTATCATCGTCACGTCTCTTCTCTATACTCCTTCTTGGGGATCTCGCGGTAGACGTTATAGGCGATGTAGATCTTGTTGTAGCTCTCATCGATCTTCTTGGTCCTACGGGTGCAAGATCGGTCAGATTCCGAGCCGGTGGCACGGATCTTTCCGAGATTTGTGATCCAGTAGGCATAGTGATAACGTCAGCATTTGCTGATGAATCAGTACCCATTGTAGAGTCTGGTGACGAAATGGCGTTGGGACCACCAGGAGCAGCGAATGAATAGGGTTCGCTTCCATTTCCTCCTGAGCTTGACATTGCAGGTTTCTGTAATGACTAGTCTTGTTCTTGGTCTCGTGTAGCTCGTACGGCTATAAAGAGCGCGTACGGCTGATAACCTGCGAGTGGATCTTAATCAGCGAAGTTTGAAGCTATCACTGACGGTCCATAAGCGGCGTAGCGTCGGAACGGAAACCGCACCTTTTCTAGTCGCTTGATCCTTGAGCCAAAGTACATATGGTACATATATATATGTACAAGTTGCACTGTACATGTCGCTGCACTTCCATTCGCAGTTGAGAAGTTGTGTCTAAGGCGTCCAAACAAATAAACAACACACCCTTCCTGGCTGGACATTGCCCGAACCCAAGCCACAGTCTTTTCATGCGTTTCCCCTTAGAAACACACATCTCATCCTTTCTGATCCTTATTTCCTCAGGGCAAATCACTACACTCTGACTCACTAACATGGAAGTGGAAAATGGTCCCTTGGAAGACTACTTTCCTTTACGAACAGGGGGTTTTCCACTTCCATGTGATGTGTTCGTCGGAGTGTATATACAGTAGCTACAGCCATTGTCTCCGTCACTCTGCACAGATCAGCCACCGTCAATTCCTTTTGCCCACACCCTTCCCCACCTCCACATCGTCTCCTTCAGTGGCTGCTTT